TTGTATCCAATCTAATGTACTGCACTTCAATGGTATACGAGTATGTTTGTTAATATGTGTTTGGCTGAAACATGTAGCGAAACCATAGCTGGGCGCTGACCTTGACTGGGATGATCAATAAACTGTGATGTGACTGATATGAATTGTGTGCCCATACATACATAAAAATATGTTCAGTTGAAAATGTGACCAAAACCTACATGCATTTTAGTATCTAAATGTAAGGTAGTTGAACATGAAGATAAGCAGTTAGCCATTATCATCCAGGAATTGGGGATTTAACCCCCCCCACACACACATACATACACACACACACACTCTATGGTGTTAGTTTCGAAGCTATGCCTGCTGGACCTGCGAATGTGCCATCAAAATAGATTATGATAAAGACAGACAATAAAGGTTAAGGTTGAAAGTACAATTTATCTGATGGTCAAAAATAAATTCTTCTTTACCTTGTTAACTACTCCAAAAATATGGAGGGAGACATATAATTTGCGTATGTTAAATAAACCTTTAATGAGCTATTTGTGAGAAATTCTATGAAATATACCCTCATCACTTAATATGATAACAACACTCGTTGCTAGTCTGCATACCTCACTGGCATTGATGTTAATTGCAAAGTGCTGATATCACATTACGTAGTCAGAAATTATGTTGTTAAATAATCCTCATGTAAAAAAGTGAATTAGATAAACTTTTTAGGTTTTAATCAGATCCATATTTAATGTATTTATCTATTAATTTTTGTGCCAAAAATAATTCTTTAGACACTCAAAGCTTTTTTGAGCTTTAGTTAAAGTACGGTTATTAGAATTAAAATTTATATCAAACCCATAACAAAATAGTCATAACAGAAGACATCAGAAATAGAGAAAAGAAGTAACAAGAAATCATAAAGAAGATTGTGGGAAGATAATATCTTGAAGACATTTCATCCAGTGACCCATATAAAAAGCGAAAGGAGGGCAACAACAACACAAGGAGGGGGGGATGATGATAATTTAATACTTCCATGAATATCCCCAATAATACACAATATGAGTAACTTACTGTGTTTGTGATCTTCAAATGGGCCCTGTAACTTGTAGGCAGTCCCATCATGACACACAAAACAGTCAAAATCTTTACGTCGTACAACTATATCAGTTGTATGGAACGCCTCTGAGGAACAAGTGCTGACAATAAAAGCAAATTACAACTTGTTAGGAACTGCCCGTGAACTATTATTTGGATGAAGTTAAAAATGTCACCTCTGCCAAGAACTGGAGCCTCTTTCTGATTCCATATAAGACTTACCTTGCTATATAATCAAGTACATCCCCAGGCATGATGACTGTACCAGGACAAAAAGAGTGCACTTTCTCTATTTTATTCCATCACCACAATAGGAAATATGGACACACCATACATTCATCATTTCTTACATGTTTCAGCTCATTAAGCCAACACCGGGTATTCACCTGCATTTGTCTGCTAGTATATCTCTACATTGGCCAGTGTGTACATATTGGACTACTGGTTTTTTAGTAATATGTAATGTTGTTGTATATAAAAAAAAGGTGTGTTTGCCTTAAAGATTAAATATTAATTGTTAAAATGTTGAATCATTAAAATATATTTACATAGCACACTGTAGGGATTTGAGCTCTCAAAACCTAAGATTATGTTATTTGTTTCAGTTTGATGTATGATGTACACACAATATGCAAGAAGTAATCTGCAGCCACCACCAGGAACTTCCTCAATTTTCATGTAATTCCTGAAAACTATTGTGAATCTCGTGTATCAACCATGACTGTCTGCACACATCTGCTCTGGTTTGTTGACTGCTCAACATGAAAGCTGTCTGGCCTCTAACATTTTAACTTGTTTCTAAAATTTTAATGAATTTATAGACATCTGCCTTAAGCGTAACATCTCATTTCCCTGTGTTGCAAGCAGAAATAATAACATACCTTTGTAAATATCCTGTTAATTTTAATTTGCCTGGTTTTATCAGAACAGGAGCCCATCTATGAAGAACATGCAGGTTCAACTGTACAAAAAAATAAATAACTTTACGTTTAATCAGAGAAGAATTATCTTTATCAAGGGACATCAAATATAAGAAATCACAATATTAAATTTCCGTATTCACACACTTTTTTCTGTTATGGATGGGACACTGGCCACACAGGAAGACATAGTGTGAATTATTCCACCAATTATAGAAGAAAGAAACAATAAGTTGATTCAGGGTTTTTTCCAATTAGGTGACACAGCCTTAGACCATTGAACAGAGTTCCAAATTCCATTACAAGTCATGTGTTACAAATTAAGAAGACTGGTGTGGGTGTACACCATAATGTAATACACAAAATTATCATGGTGTTTTTTGACATTTCTTAAGCATACATACACAGTATGTCCAGGTTCGGTTAGGACTGTGTTCATTAAAAATACAAGACATGAATTATTTTCAAAATTTCACTCTTTTTATTCAAAATAGTCTACTTCTGAATCAATACATAGATGAAATCGATTGAAAAGTTTATGAAAACAGTCACTGTACTCCTTTTATGGAATCGCATTTAAAACCGCGGTACATTCCCTTTGGATGTCCTGGATGGTGTCGTGACGGTCTCCTTTCATCGCCAACTTAACTTTTGGGAACAACCAGAAAACTGCATGAGCCAAATCTGACGAATACGGAGAATGATCAAGGACTGTGATCCCCTTTCTGGCCAAAAAATCACGCATGATCTTCGATTTGTGGGGTGGGTTATTGTCATGGAGGAGCAACCAACAACCTTGCTCTCGATATTCAGGTCGAATTCGAAGAATTCTTGCCCACAAACGATTGAGGACTCTGAGATAATAATCAGAATTCACTGTTTGACCTTCTGGCAGAAAGTCCTTGTGAATGATTCCTTTGGAATTGAAAAAAACGGTTAGCAGTCTCTTTACTCGACTTTTTTGCATGCGCACTTTCTTTGGTTTTAGCTGGCTTCTTTGGGCTCAACCACGCTCCACTCTGCTGCTTTGTGAGAGGCTCATTTTGAAAACACCATGTCTCATCACCAGTAACAATCGATTTTGTAAATTTTGTATCACTTTGGGCCAACCGTAACATGTCTTTGCAGTGTTCCACTCTGTCATGTTTCTCATTGCCTGACAGCGCGTGACTTACAAACAGAGCACAGACCTTCCCTTTGCCCAAATCCTCGGTCAAAATTTGATGCACAGTACTTTTTGCTATTCCCAAAAGTTCCTTGATGAGTCGTGCAGAAACACATCTGTCTGATGCAACGATTTCGGTCGCTTCTATTCAAATTTTCTTCAGTGCGACTTGTTCTCGGCTTTGATGTACGTGAAGCGTCTTCAACATCCCCCCTGCCGTCACGAAATACAGCATACCATCGAAAAATGTTCAGGTGACTCAAACAATGACTACCGTACACACTTTTCATCATTTAGTATGCTTCTCCGGCTGTTTTGCCTAACTTCAAACAAAATTTGATGTTGCCTCTCTGTTCAACCGCCATTTTCCGACGAGGGTCAGAACAGTACTGTTACATTCAAGGTCAGAAGACATGATACAGCGATGCTTGCACTTTGAAATTATAGACAGCCACAGTTGAATCTTCAAGAATCTTAACGCCACAACTTGCAGGGCAAAATTTAAACAAATGAGTCTTAATGGATCCTGGGCACACCGTGTAAGTATGAGTATGAAATGTAAATTTGAGAGTCTTTTACATCAAATTCAATGAAATCTGTGGAAGAATTTGTGGGATACATGGAAAAGCCCATTTATGGTCTTGTGAAAACTTAAACTTTATTATGAATCAATAAGGTAAAGGTAAAGTTTAACTAATTACACGCCATGTCATGAAGATAAATGGTGGAATGAAGGTATAGCTCCACCATTCTTGATCCTTGTTCTAGATGGAGGTGAGTGGTCAGCTTCATGCTCTGGCTGCTTTACCCCTAGGTACACATTCGGTAGGAGGCTGTGGACATGGTCTAGACCAGTGGTTATCAATCTGTGAGGGGTCCGCGGGTTAGTTTATTTTCGTTAAATTTTATCTTATCATGTTCCTCACACCTGGGATATTTGCAACGTATATCTCTGGCTCTTGAGGCCCATGGTTGAAGTAGAATTTAACAGGACGGTTGGTACCATAACAGTACCTTCCCTTTGTAAAGCAGAGGTGAATAACTGACGATTTGTGTAGCTTTTTCGAAAGACATTTTCTTTTGGTCTGCCCATTGCATCTCAGACCCGTGTTTCAGAGTGGACTGTTGTCCTTACCTGCTGTCTGACCAGTCTCCCCCTCCCCCCCACCAAATCCATCCCTCTTTGGTTGGGAATAAAGCTGGGACCATTGACCACGTTTCTTATTCATTTCAGTGGCAGAGCGAACAATCTGTGTGTCTTTAGTTTTTGTGCAGTGAATTTTTATAATATTATACAAATGTGTTTTTCTCAGTTTAATGTTCAGTTTTTCTGCTCTTGTTCAAATAATTGAGTTCACAACGAAACTTCTGATTTTCAGTTTCTTCACGATCTTATTTAGGTATGGATTGGTGGTTAAAGTGTGGATCGTTGATTAGGTGAGTGTTAAATTAATAATATTAGGCCTAATTGATATGTTCGTAATCTTCCGAATAAGCTCCATTTATAACAGTATTTTATTGTCATAAATGACACACTTAGTGTTGTAAAATTGTAAGTTACTGCTTCACTTTTATGATATGTAAAATATAAAAAATTTCTATTTTGGGTTTTATGGGGGCCGCGGTGAATTAACATTCGGTACAGGGGGTCCGCGGCATCAAAAAGGTTGGGAAACGCTGGTCTAGACTGAATAGTCTGAACTTCATCTTGGAGCCATAAACAAAGCTGCCATGGCCCATCTCATAGCAGATTAGGGCACAGTAAAGACAGAGCATCACCATCTGGTTTTTGTCCCAAGACTGGGAACTTCAGACTTTTAAAATGTCAAATGACTGTTTACGCTTCACAACTGTCACAAGTGAGGTTAAGAAGGCCTAGAAACTTTCCAGCTGGAAATGGCAGAACACTGTTGTAGAGGAACAGTCTGGGGAGGAGGATGTAAACCCTGAAGTCTTGTCAAGTGGATATATGAGGGGGGACCCAAAAATAACCGGAAACGACCTGTTGCGCGTGCATGCTTTGTAGTTACGAGTTGTGCTGCTAGGTGGTGTTAGCTGGGGGTCTCTCGTGACTGTTAGTTAGCTGGCGTCAGTCTGAGTTAAGTGGTTTGTCTGTGGTGCTCTGTTGTGTGCGTTCCTGTTTCAACCCTTTGGCGATTAGTGAGATGGCCGACCAGAAGGAACAATTCTTTTAAGAAATTCTGGATCGTTCTGCACTTCACTCTTCAAGTCGCGGCAAACATTCACGCGGTTTTCTCTTTGGTCATCTCCGAGCAAGCGAGGAACAAATTTTGCAGACACCCGTCTCATGTGCAAACCTTCGGTTAAAATTCGCTGGACCGTGCTCCATGAGAT